TTTGTTTTATCTAGATATTGTAATGTCTTATATAAAAAATGTTTCAATTGGAAATGCATCAATCGATGCTGTTTTATCAACATCTGGAGTGTATGCCTGCATTGCTGTAGTGATTCTATTAGATGATAGTAGAACTTACATGTGTCACATAGATCCATCTAAGTTTAATTTAGAAAACAAGGATAATATGCAACACGAAGTTCAAAATTTGATTAAACAATCGATTTTAATGTTCAATCAACGTAAAAACAAAAACAACTCGTCTTTCAAAAGCATATTTATCATTGGTGGTTTAAGTAATACCGAGTATAAAGCATTCAACAATGAACTAAATCGGATGAAAAATAATTATGCTACAATTATACCAATAATTGATGGATTGAATATTGATCAATTACAAGATTTTCTCAAATGTATTGAATATTCGAATACAATCATGAATCTAGACGGTGGTGATATAGACGAAAAGAAAGGATTAGTATTTATTTCCGATCTAACTATACTTTCCGATCAAACAGTAACACCACCGGTATTGTTCATTGCTCAATATTATGACTATGAAATCAATTTACGTGGTGGTATTAGAACAATAAAACCACAAATATTATTTATGTACAATTTCAACAACAAATCCTGGAACATCATCGATATTCAATTATCGACTTTGCAATTAGATCATGTCAAAAATATTGTACACGAATTTAATAATAAATTTTTATCAGGTGATGATCTGGAAAAGACAAAAGATCAATTAATGAATTATATCTCAAAGATTAAACATTAATTCTTCATCGTACATTAAATAATATTTACTCTTTTTCTCTTTTGTCATATGATTGTTAACTTGTGATTGGATGTATTTTTCTTGCATATATGTGTGCATGTTATTTTTTTTTTATTGTTCAACTGCATTTTCTTGCCTTTCTTCTAATGTACATTACACTTTGTAAGGATTTTTTCGAATCTGTCTATCTAATACATATATGCTCTATCGGTTTCTCTTATCGCTCTGTTATGATCACCTGTTGAATATAGTTTAACATAGATAATCAATCGTCATATATACAATGTGTTATATTCTACGAGTAAATAACCGTTTATTCATAGAATATAACACATTGTATATATGACGATAGATTATCTATGTTAAACTATGTTCAACAGGTGATCATAACAGAGCTGTAAGAGAAATCGATAGAACATATATGTATTAGATAGACAGATTTGAAATGATCCTTACAAAGTGTAATATACATTAGAATTGGTTTATTATGAAAACTATTAAGAATATAATCAAGCGATAAGACAAACCTTTTATATAGCTACAAGAATTTAATCTACTCGAAAACCTCATTTTTTCTACAGGATAATTTATAAGTATAACTTTACGGTAGAAAATTACACTTAATAATGCCAATTCTTTTTTTCTGTGACAAAGGAGACTTTAGAATGGTTTTTTTTTATCAGACTTTCATGAACTTACAGGTCGTAGAGTATATATAATGTCAAAGTGTATTTATTCAGAGTCTGTATAAAAACAAGTACCGGCAAGGATCATCAAAGTGACTCTCGCTTTCACTTCATTGCACTTAGGAAAAGATAGTATATCTACATTGGTAGTGAGAAAGAAGAAAAAAACATAATGAAACACATGACGAATGTATGCACACATAAATCTGAATATGATCATCTTCAACATTATAAAAGATAGAAATTTATGATCGCGAAGTCATTGATAATATTTTCAAGCAATATTTATAAATTTTGTTTTTATTGAAAAAAGAAAACTCTAAAATCTTCTCTATCGCGTAAGAAGAATCTGACCTCATAGAAAGTGAAGATATTCAAATTTTTTATCGTAAAGCTACTCCATCGAACACCATGCAGGGAAAAAAATGTTCTGATAAAACTGCAATTTTAATTAACCGCGAAAATCAAATTATTTATTCGCCTACACATACAAGTGAAAACTACGATGAGAACAAAGACAGCTATGTACCAACGAAAATATTTTACAACTTGAACCTCGATTTTTCTGTGGACAGTCTGCAGACGAGAAGAAAACAACAGAAGCTTTAGTCTTGAACTCTTCTGCGAATGGGGAAGCAGCAGACTTCAAGACTGAAGCTTTTGCTGTTTCTCCATTCGTTTGCGAATATCTGACAAAATTGCTTATGTCTATATTCGGAATTTGTATAATTGATAATCTAATAATTCAGTAACTTTTATTGAAAAACAATTTCTTCATGTGTATAAATAGAAATAGAAGAAGAAAAAGTTGTTTTTTTTTTTATTTCGAAGGTAATGCTCGAATGTTCTATCTAACATGTTATGTATATAAAATTGGCTCAAATGATGAATCAACAACAAATAATGAAAATATTTCAACAAATAAAAAATCTAATACATCAATAACAAAAAAACCAAAATCAACAGCAACAACAACAACATCAATAAATACAACTTTAGATATAACATCAAATAAAAATAAAATTGAAAATTCTTTTATAAAAAAATTTGCTAATAATTTATTAGTTGCAACTCAACGAAATAATTGTATTGATCTTGAAAAAAAAAGTAAAATTTCCAAAAACAAAAAAAAGAAAATTAAATCTATAAAACTTTTTTTTAATTTTCTAGACAAAATAATCAACAAAATGGTATATGTTTAACAATTAATGATCCATTTAATCATCATTTATGTCAATCTAATCAAACTTTATCAATAAATACACGTTCATCACCATTTATTCCATTTCATCGTCGTCCTCGTACAACATCTCCTATTACGTCTGATTCATCTATTCGAAATAAAATTGATCCAATTAAAATGGAAAATTCTTCATCAGAATCAATTGAAAATCATGATACTCTAATCGAATCAACATCATCTTCAATAGTAACAACAAATACTCAATTAACAACTAATGAAAAACCAGCTGATTGGACAGCATCAACACCAAATAGTGTTGGTGGTATTACAGGTCCACTATCAGTACTTACTTCAATTACAAATCAAAATTCTACAATAACAAATTCTTCAGCACCAAATCCAATATCAACACGTGGTATTAAACGTTCAGCAACAAAAGCATTTGATGAAACATTTATTGAAGATGATGGACCAGAACAACAAAAACAAACATATGATTTTTATCGAAGTGATTCATTGTAAGATTTAATTTCTATTTGAATTTTCCTTATTTTTTTTTTTTTTGTATTAATAATTATTTAAGTTTACAATTACCTTTAAAACGTTTTTGAACTGATGATCAATTAAATCTGAATGAGTTTGAATCAACAATAACAACTTGTGAACATGTCTATCAACATAGTCAACCTACACCTCCTAGTCCTAGTCAAATATCATTTCGTGTACGATGATTTTTGTTTTGTTTTTTTTAATTTCTATATTTTCTTTATATTTTTAGTCTAATCTTGATTTTGATGATAATGAAGATTTAACATCACGAACAAATTATTTAATTTCAACATCAAATAATACTCGTTCATCAAATCAATCATCATTTTTTTCAATAGATGGACCATCAATGGTTGATCTTGAAACAATTATTGATTCACAATATACAATAGAAAATAAAACTACAAATACTCATACACATAATATTTCTGATAATAATATTAAATCACCAAGTCGAAAAGAAAATGTACTTCCAGCACCTCCTATTCCAAGTATATATATATTAATAATGGTAGTATATATATATATCCTGTCAATCGATCATTAAATGGAGGTTTTTTAGATTCGAAGAAGAGATAATTTATCTAATACATTTTAATTGTATCAAAAGAGAGCTATAATTTTGAAGAGCTAGATAACCATCTTCATTCTAATTTCTTTCTTTTGATAATAAGATATATATCGTGTTATCGAAAAGTAATTTGAGAAGGTTGTAGAAATTTGACAACATTGAATTAGCATCAGAAGTTCTTTTCAACGACCATAAATTGATAATGCGCTAAAACTTATTTAAAGTAGAAGTAAAAATTATTTCAAATACTGCGAATAAAAGAGCAACCATTAATGATAAGTTTACTACAAGTCATTTGTCAATAGTGAATATTTCGGGTAATTCAGAAGCTAGGATTCTATATTATAGGCAAAGAAAATATCTTTCATTCCAGTTTCAAACAAGGACTGAGGTTCCTCTGCAAATTTTTTCTTAATTCTAGAGAAATGTTGAATCTATAAATTATTAACAAAAAAAAAAAAGTTCAATAAAATCATTTATTTAGTTCTTCATGAAATGGAACAAATCTATAATACATCACCAGATTCATCATCATCAGAAAAACTTCAAGCATTACATTCTCCATATGGAATTATAATTGATACATCAATACATGTTGCAAATACACTTGATGCATTAAATCATTTTAATCAAGAATCTATACTTGCACCATTTGAATCAAATTCTATTGCCGAACAATCGTCTTACTATCCATTAAATAAATTTTCATTAAAAAAATTTCATAAACGTTATGAACCATCAAAATCATTATCAATAACAACATCAACATATCATAGAAATTTTCGAAATTGGAAGTATACAATACCAATTAATGATATATCATCAAGTCCATTTAATAATAATCAACAAATTTTACGCCAACAAACAACATCACGTTCAATACTAACACCAATACCAAATCTTTATTCACCAATGCGTTCAAATGATTTACAATCATCACCATATCCTAATCGATCAACTAGTAGTGTTCAAACAATAAATAGTCCAATAGTTGGTATTATACCATCAATAATACCTGAAATTGATTCATTTATATTTAATATTTTACTTACTGATAGTATTTTAAATATATATTGTGATATTAATTTTGATTCATGTGTTTTATGTGCATGTAATTGAAATGATTTATCAATACATGGTATTGATTCAATAATATATTTATAAAAACCACATGATAATATTAAATCTATACATTCACATATGTATACACATCAACAATCACCATATCAACATTCAACAATATATTCTCAACAACAACAACAACAATCAAAATCATCAACAAATAATTCATGTTCATGTGGTTTTTCAGCTGTTGTGAATTTACGTTTAGGTTATTCATCTGGTTTATTTTATGAAGATGAAATTGAAATAACAGGAATTAAAGCTGATATTAAATATCGTCAATTAAATGATAATTTATCAATTAATTTATTAGAATTAATTGAAAAAAAACAATCAATATCATCACCATTTGATTATTTTAATAATCAAAATTTACAAAAACAAAATACTCAAGATATTCTACAAAAAATTTTAAAAGAACCATTTTATCAATGTAAGTTATTCGTTTAAAGAATTTACCCTCATAATGGTATACATAAGAGCTAAAAGATGGAATAAACGGTATTAAGCCGTTAACATACATCCTCAGTTGATTCTAACGATGATCTTTTTCTTTTAATCTAATTAATATATTGTTTTTTTTTATTATAATACATCGATCGAATATTTTTTTTTGTCGATCTCTAACTAATGTATATATATTTAGATGAAAATTGGGCTTGTCGATTAGCTCTTGATCAAGCACGAAATAATGGTAATGGTTTAATAGCTGATGATATTGATAAACATCATTGGTTACATCAATGGTCATATTTAACATGTAAGCAAAAAAAAAAAGAAAATATTTTTTGAAAATATTATTCTTTTTTATTTCTTTTTTAAAGCACCACTTGATTCTGATCAACAATTAATAACTATGTTACGTTCATTACAACCATTATTAGTTGAAGCATTAAAAAAACGTAATGTTAACGGATTATGGAGTACAATGGATGGTCCATTAACATGGAAATCTTTTCATCAATTATTATATGTACAAAATCAACATGCACATCTTGAAGAATAAATAAGTGGACCACAACCAATACCATATATTTTTGCTGGTCTTGATCGTGAATGGATTATGTTAGCACCACATGGTTTTAAATTTTGGGATAAATTATGTCTTGAACCATATTCAAAACGAAAAGATATTGGTTATATATGTATTGTACCTGATAATGATTATATATGTACAATGACAAAAATTTATTTTCGTGAATTATCAACACATTATGAATTATGTCGATTAGGTTCACATAGACTTTTATTAAAAGCATTTTCAGATCAAGCACTTTTACGTATATCATCACAACAATATAATGATTCATCACAACTTGCAAATATTGATTCATGGTTTACTGATCATGAAACAACACATCCACTTGGGAGTCGATTAAAACTTTATGCTCAAATATTCAAAGATAAACTTTGTAAGAAATCTTTGAAACTGTCTTATTACTAGATGATTAATTTATTTTGATCATAATACAGCTGATAGAGTTTATTAAAAACAAAGATTCCATAGAAATTTGACTCATTAGATCGGTGACTAGCACATCCCCACATATTTCTCAGACGACTAGAATCCATCGAATTCGGAACCAACCTAACGGGCTCTATTGTATAGAGTAAAATTAATTGAAAAATACCTCAGAGGACTTACGAGAAAATCACATTTATTCACTTAATTTTAAACTGTATTTTGGAGTATGAACTTTACTTTTCGACCAAATCCACATATATAATTTGAAATTTAGTAATCATTATCAAAACGCAAATTATTCATATTATTCTTGTCCAAAACCAAATACTAAGAATTTGATCCCGAATCTTTTTTTCTAGTTGTGACATGCTCCTAGTAAAGTAAATCGTTGTTGATCTCACTTTTTCTTACCAAATTCCAAGATTTTGAGTTTGCTGCATTCCTAACAAGGACTCATCATCGACATAACCGCAAAATCGAAGTCTACTGCAATCGGTTAACTGTAGGTAGAAATTCATAAACCGAAACATATATTAATCCTCTCTTATGCAATACCCATAACTCTGCCATGTTTCTTATTCTCGTAGGAATTCCGCCAGAGCTCGAAACGAACCGTCATTTTCGGGGTTCGGGCTCGGTTCGGTTCGACTGGTTTTCAGGTTCTAGTACATGTAGACGAAATACAAAATACGACAAAATGATAGTGATGTCAGGACAATTGATCGCAGGACATTTCGTCGCAGACAATTCGCCACATAGACAATCCATCACAGGATGATTCGTCGACGGCTATTCATTATATTGAATAGCAATGCCAAAATAAAGATAGAAATAGTCCATCGCATATTATCTTGGGGACAATTGATCGATCGTCACGAAAACAACAAATCCAATTATTAACAAAACCAAATAGCAGGCTTACTATATTAAGAACTAATATGCTGTATGGCACAACGAATGAAGACTCGTTTTAATCCGCTCGAACTCAATACTCCATAAACAAAATAGATTTTATAACGAAGACGATTGCTTTTAATCAGTTTTAGCTCGGTTCTACAAGAGTTCGAAAAACCAGTTCGGGTTCGGTTCGTTTTCAAGCTCTGGATTGCGCTAACAATTTCCTAATTCGCTCAATTGTTCTCTCAAAATGATTCCTTAAAGAATCTTTAATATACATATTTTTATAATTAAAACAAAAATTTTCTTCAAATTGAAAGTAAATTCTATTTCTTGTTTTTTTTTTGTATTATTTTCTAGTCAATATTCTCACCACACAATCATTCAATAATATATTATCAGATGATAGTACATCTCGTCGAGATGTATTTCGTAGTCCAAATGATATATCATCATCATCATCATTTGATCATTATTCAACGAACAATAATTTAATAATAAATACTGGGTGAGACATAATGATTGACAACATCTCTTGTATTTTGCAAATCGTATCATCTTGATCTTTCAAAAAAAAAGATCAATTGGTAAAATACTAAATTTTGTAATCATTATGTCTCATTCGGTAATAATTATACATTTTTATTTTCATTAACTAGTGTTGCTGCAAATAGTATTTATACAACAGGATCACCAGCAAGTGATGCTCTTAATACATCATCAAATAATCTTTCATCATCATCAACAAATGGTACAATTGTAAATGGTCAACAAGTTGATCCAATTGGTTTACAAGCATTTGAATCATATTATCATGGTCGTTCATTAAATGATGATGAATTATTTTTAGTTATTTATATAATTGATACATTTCGATATGAATTAATAGGATCATCAAATAATGATAATGATGATATTCATATTGATGATACAATTGATATTTATGTAAGAAAAGCAATTTTTCCTGCTTATTTAGATCTTATTAAAGATTTACCAGAAAAAACTACTCTTCGACTTAATATTCAAGTAAAATTCTAATATAAAAATAATATTTATTTATTTATTTATTCTATTTAATTATATTTAGATTGTTCCATTTGAATTAATAGTTAATCAACAAATTGAATCTGATGCTGAACTTCGTTTAACACGATTAAAACGTTTATCATTTCATGTTTATGATCAATTACGACAAACTGTTTCACATACAACACGTGCAAAATCTTTAACTGGTTTTGGTCCAGCTATATCAAAAGAAAAAAATGCAAACAAAAATTGTAAAACTAACATATTTTCATATATATAATTTTGAAATATTCATTCTTTTTTTGATTTTTTTCAGGTTATGCAATTGTATACACCAGCATATATTCTTTCGCCAAAATCAGATTTTCATTTTAAACCATTTACTGATATAACAGAACAAACAAATATAAATGGAAGTATTTTATTTTGTTCATATTGTCTATCAGATGGTCAACGATATCTTTTAACAGCATGTTGCGATGATCGAGGAGAATTATTAGAAACATGTTCAATTAATATTGAAGTACCAGATAGGTAAATTAATATTTTAATATAATGAAAAAAAACAATAAGAATAGAATATTTAATGTAAAGTAGAAGACAAAATAATTATTAAAAAAAACTGTTTTGAATATCATTCAGTCTTATTTAGGAAAATTTTATTTAAGTACATAATTAGAAAGAGCATTGAAAACTGTATATCGCTGTTATCGAAATGATTCGTTTTAGTAGGATGGTAAGCAATTGAGTAAATTTTACTACCGGACTGAACGATTATCTTAGTGCGATTCAATTCTACAACTTGTGATTTAATGTATTTTGTAGAGTAGATTTTAGACTTTCGAATACGATTGAACTGCCTTTCATATAGCATACTATTCGATCGGTACGATGCTTTTCATTTTCATTGATGTTTTCTAGCTGAAGTCATTTTATCAACCTAAAAGTATTATACCATTTGAATACATAGAAGACAACTCGATCGTATTCGCAAGTAAAAAAGTCTGCCCTATAAAATACATTAAATCCTAAGCGCTTAAAGTTACGCTATAGAATTGAATCGTTCAAAAGCGACATACAGTTTTCAATGCTATTTTTAATAGTGTGCTTAAACTTTTATCCATTACACAAACAATGGTTTGTGTGATAAAAACTCAAATGACTAAACTTGAGAAAAAAATTTATATCTCAGATTTTTAATCCATGATGAGAGAAAGATCATTCTCGAGAGAGAAAAATATTCACAAAACAAAAAGTTTTCTAAACTTTCATTGTCTACTTTAGACATAAAAGAAAAATTCAACATGCTCGACGAATTGATCTACAAAAATTATGGGATTTTATAATGCGTATTGTTACAAGTACAACAATGCCATGGAGAATTGTTATTGGACGATTAGGAAGACTTGATCATGGAGAATTAAAAAGTATAATTACATCAAAAACAAAAAAAAAAAAAGACTGAAAATTTCTATTTTTATTATTCTTTAGATTGGGGAGTAATATTATCAAAAAAGAATCTTGTCCGTTGTGCTACATTAATACGTGAATCATGTTCAATGTGTCATATTTTACGTAGGCATGATCATCCAGTTATATTATCAGCATGTTTAATATCTATGGAAACACATCCATTATTAACTATTCTACCAGAATCACTTGAACTTGGAGAAATGCGTGGAACACAACCATCAAATAATAATACAACAACAATGCAAAATAGTGGACAAGTTTTAAGTGATGTTTCAGTAACACATATTCTTACATTACCAACATCAGCATCTGTACAGGTTAGATAATTTAAATTTACTATTTTTTCATTACGATTTTTTGTTGTTGTTTTTTTTGTCATATAGCATGTACAAGCCATTCCTCGACCAAATGATCCTCGTCAATCACCAATCTATAATGAAGATGATTTATTTAATTCAATATTTGAAGGATTTGATACTGATCCATTTGGTCCTATGCAATAACCACCACCAGATTTAGAATTTTCACCTACTGGTGTACTTGATATAAATCATAATGGAAATTCAAATGGACCTATGAGTCGTTTAAATAGTTTATCTATATGACAACATAGTTATAATGGAAATGATCTATATGGAAATTCTCTACATAATTCAAATATAAAATCAAATTCATTACTTCATTTAGATTCTGAAGTTGATTTAAATGATATACCATCATTACATCAACAACCACTTGCACTTGGTTTTTATGTTTCAACAATAGGTACATTAAATTCTTTACCAATATGGATGTTACAAGGAAAATCAAATCAACGATTAAATAACACATCAAGTGTATTTAAAGCAACATTACATGTTAGTGTACCTAATGCTCAACATTCAGATGATATGTTATTTGCTCAAAATCATGATCAAAAATCCATTCATCCACTTGATTCAAATTATACATATGTTGTACTTAGGTAAAAAAAAAGTTCCGTTTTTTTTTTGTCTCTAGAATTATTTATTTTTAGACATGTTCTTGAATCTTATAATCGTTTATCGTGGTTATTAATAGATGCTAAAACTAATGAACGTGCTAGTTGTTTACCAATTCATATGGAAACATTATTAAAATTATATCATGCTTTTATTAAATTTGTATAATTTTGAACTTTCATCTTTTCTTTATTTTTAGCCATATTGGCATATCATACGTGATCTTTTTATTTATTCTTCATATTATATTGAATTAAGAAAAAAAAATAAAGAAAATCTCTCATTCGAATTTTTTTCCTTGTGTGTATGTGTGTTTTATGTGCTCATTCATTTTCTTATTGTTTTTTTCCTTCGAAACTACAAAAAAAACAGTTGTGCATTGTTATTTTTTGTCATTAATTGTGATCTGACATGTTCGTGAAATATACAAAAGAGAAAAAAAACAATTCGCATATATATATATACTAGCGAGAACCCGTGCATACTGCACGGTAGCTTTTTTTAACAACGAAAGAAAGTTTTTCGTGAGGATAAAGGATTATCAGGGATACAATGGAAATTTTTATTTCTGTTCTATTAGAACAATTTATTTATTTAATGTTCATTCTATTTTAAAGTAACTAATTTACAAAATTTCTTTGAAAACAATGTTTCTAGTTTTATTTTTTTCACTGTTCTTTTCTTTAATGAGTTGTACCTTGATAAATGTAAGGGAGTGAACTCTTGAAAAAGCAACGTATTGTTGTCCGTGACTGAATACTGGTTGTGGTAGAAGTAGTCCTAATCGTTCAAATGTTTGTCCTTGTGATTTGTTGATTGTCATAGCAAATGAAAGCCGAATAGGGAATTGATGTCTGCGTAATTTGAATGGTAAAAATGTATCAGATGGTGTCATTGTAATTCTGGGTATTATAATTCGGCTTCCTTTGTTTGATCCCGTTGCGACTTCACAATCGATCGTGTGATTTTGTAAACGCCGTACGATGAGTCGAATTCCATTACATAGACCTTGCTTTACATCGAGGTTGCGAAGAAGCATTACAATTGCACCAATCTTTAGTTTAAGCTTATGAGGAGGCATTCCTGATGGTGT